CCCCCCACAGAACCAGGCCCCTCACAGATCCAGCCAGTCCTCCTCACAGAACTGGACATCCACACAGAACCAGGCTGTCACACAGAACTGGGCCCCCTACAGGACCAGGCCCCCCACATAGAACCGCCCGCCCCTGGGTGCTGTGTAGCCACCATCGACTTCGACGACTCAGAAACTTGTGTTCTCACAAGATAATTCATACTGTGTTTTGAAAACACTATTGGTTAGAAAATCATTTCTCATACTGAGCCAGAATTTGTCTTCCTGTAACTTTAATCCTCGTGAAATAAGTCTAAAGTTCTTAGAAGCCTCTCTCCCTACCCCACCCCCTGCTTTTTTTAGGGCTAAATATTGTCAGGTCTTTTAACTCTTTTTCCTAGACCTTACATCCTCCTGATTCTCCCTTGTATGTACTCTGGGGTTTGCAGCTTGATGTCCATGCAAAGTTTAATACTTTCTGTTTAGTTGATGTTTCTAATTCATTTTTAAATTTTCTATTAACCAATACAAATAATCTAGATGCACTACAAGATTTTGAAAAGCAGCAGCCTCCTTTCCTGCTTCTGATTTCTATTTCCCAGGGGCTCTGTCAGTCTGGAGATCTGTGTCCTTCTGTCCTGGAGTTTTTTGGAATTTTTCTTTTTCTTTTCTTATTTGTTTTCTCTTTTCTCTTTTCTCTTTCGCTCTTCCTGGAACTTCTGTAATTTGGATTTTAGGCCTCCATGAGGTATTCCTATTTTCCACTTCTTGCTTCTCTGCTTTCTGGGAGGTTTACTCAATTTTATCTTTAACTCATCTATGGGATTTTTCCATTTAATCAAGCCGTCTTCCAAGAGCACTTGTTTTATTCTCTGAATATTCTGTAACATGTTGTTCTGGTCTTTTTTTTTTTTTTTTGAGAGAGAGAGAGAGAGAGAGCGCGCGCATGCACATGATTGGGGAAGGGGCAGAATGAGAGGGAGACAGAGAATCCCAGGCAGGCTCCATGCTGTCAGCACAGAGACAGACGCGGGGCTCGATCCCACAAACCATAAGTTCGTGACCTGAGCCAAAATCAAGAGTCGGATGCTCAACTGACTGAGCCACCCAGGTGCCCCTGTTCTGGTCTTTTCTAATGGGTCCTGTACTTGTGGTGTGTGTGTTTGCACAGCCACGTGTGTAGTGTGTGTGCACACATGAGCATAGTGGTGTGTGTGCAGGCATGTGTGTGTCACACGCACGTGTGTGGTGGTGTGTGTGTGCGTGTCTATTGTGTGTATACGTGCACGTGTGTAGCGTGCACATGTACATGCACGTGTGTGATGGTGTGCGTTATTTCTGTTTCCTCCAAATTTCTTTTTCTTTATTTTGGTCTCTGAATTTATTGTTAGGGAAGTCCCTGAAATACCTGATGTCCTACTAGGACACTCTTCTGGGTGTTTGACAATATCAACTAGTTTAATCCTCACAGTGGCCTTGAAGGCAGTTTCTGTTATCCCCATTTTACAAATAAGGACACGAGGCCCAGGAGAATTAAATAGAACTACACGTGTCGTGGAATGAAACAACAGCAGAGCAAGGATCGAAATCCAGCAGTCCTGAGGCTCTTGAGTTGACACTGGTAGCCGCCACACTGTGCTGTTCTGTGGCATTGTTTCACTGATAAAATGGTTCACTAGGACGGGGACAAGGACAGAGCCATATGGAATGTCGTTAGCGGTCTCTCAGGTGACATCAGTCCATTCATCCCTTCTTGCTCAACTTGTTTCACATCTGCCTCCAGACTGTGTTTCTCTCCCTTGTCCACGGTGGGGGGGGGGGGGGGGGGCTGCTGCAGAAGACTCGGTCATGTGGCTCCGCAAGTCCAGGGTCTAAGGCAGCAAGAGAAAGAGCCTGGGACGTCAGCTCTAGAGTGACACGGTCCTCGGGTACAAAACCCTGTCTTTTCCTACTGCTGGCTGTGTGATTATGGCAAATTAGTTAAGCTTCTCTGAACCTCAGTTTCTTCTATAACATGAAACTGGTATCTTATTAGGTATTTGTCAGGATTCAAGGTTAAGTGCCAGAGTACTGTAGGCCTTCAGTAAGTGGTAGCTGTTATCATCTGCCAGTCTAGTAATCCCTTCAAAGAAGGAAATACATTAAGATTACTGGTTTATTTACATGAACTCTTGCTAACTCTGTAATTGTTTCCTCTCCTCTTGAAGCTCACAAAGCAGCCATTTGATAACATGTTCTAGAATTTTGCCTTGAATTAACATCCACATCACCAGCCTGTAGCTTTTGGCAATCTGTTTAGAATTCTTTTTTTAATCAGAACAATGTTTGCTTGTCTTCACTCTTCCATCAACTAACTGTCCTATTCACTGGATTCCTCACATATCAGCGGGATCTTCTTTGCGGGTTTGCTTTGTATTCTGAGGTGTAACCTGTCTAGACAAGAAGACTCGAGCTCCTTTTCACTGGCTGTATCTACCTCTGAGCCTATCTTGGCTTTCATTTCCTTCAGACCAGTGTTTATTCTCCTCTTTCCAATCTGATACCCGGTTCGCCATGCAGAGAAAACACGCAAACACGCAAAATGGGGACTCAGCAATTCCACTTGACCGTCTCATACCTCACGTCCTTATTCGTGCCAGTCTCTAGTAAAAGTCCACTTTTCCCAAGTCACTGTTGCAAAGATGCTTGTCCCCTGAGCCTCTGCCTGTCTGCTCTTCCCCTCCCTCCTGCCCCTCAGAGCCCGTGACTGGCTGTCCTCCGTCAGTGATTTCCCGGCAGTCGCGTTCTCTTCTCTGCACATTCTCTTCCTCTTACTTGTCACATTGTCTCCTGAGAATAGCTTCCTCTGCAGCCCACCTAAACCGTTGATTTCGTGTTTATTTCTCCAGCTAACCTGAGGCCTTAGGGGTGGAGAAGGCATCTTCCTTGCTTCCCATTTCTACCCCGACCCAGTCTTTTCTTCCTTCATCTAAAGCCTCACCTCCTGGGGCGCCTGGGTGGCGCAGTCGGTTAAGCGTCCGACTTCAGCCAGGTCAGGATCTCGCGGTCCGTGAGTTCGAGCCCCGCGTCAGGCTCTGGGCTGATGGCTCAGAGCCTGGACCCTGTTTCCGATTCTGTGTCTCCCTCTCTCTCTGCCCCTCCCCCGTTCATGCTCTGTCTCTCTCTGTCCCAAAAATAAATAAACGTTGAAAAAAAAAATTTTTTTTTAAAAATAAAGCCTCACCTCCTTTGACATCCTTTTTCTTAGTTATGTAACGTAAATTTTGAAAATGGGAAAATTGATCAGGAATCTCTCTCTCACACCTGCTTGCCTCTCTTCTACCCCATGTCTCCATCTCAGTCCCCCACTCCTTTCCATCTCTGTTTTCTGCTGCCCTCGTGTTGGTCTTCCTTTCAGGCTGTGTTTCCCTGTGTGGTGGCGGAGGACGCGGCCACCAGCAGCCTGTGCAGCTTCTTGAAAAGAGAAGTCTCCTTTTCCAGTCACAGAGTTCCCAGACCTGTTTCTGTCTTGAGCTGCCTTACACCAGATGCCCACCGAGGGAGAGGGGCAGGGGTCTCCCCAAAGAAAGTCTAAGTCTGTTACCACTGAAAGGAAGTGTGGATGCCAGGCGGATCAGAACAGCAGGCGGGGCTCTTGCCTGTCCAGCCCTGTATGATATACCTTCTATGGGCCTGGTAAGATTTACCCCTGAGGTTAGTTAAAAACTTTCCTAAATCGATCAACTTCTGTAGCTTACAGTGACGTAGCTTACCCTAAGCGAAATAGTAAGAATTAACCTGAAATGAAACGATGGTCACACAGTTACGGGCTCTCATGATACAGAATGGAGATGACGTGATTTCAGATTATTTCACAGGCAGATAATAGGGCAATACGTGGTAGTTTACAACCTTGTTTTTAAACTACTTCAAATTGTACATGCATGACTTATAAAATTTTAAGTCTTTTTCAAGGAAAAATATTGACAAAATAAAATTTTATAGCTAGACAGACCAGTTTACAACAGCAGCTTATTTGCGTGATGGACCACATCTGTAAATTAGTTGATACTATTCCTGACGATGAACTGACAGCTCTGGATTGTGGACAGGAACTGCGTCAGCATCGGGACATAAGGTATCTTACGTTTTCTTCTGGGATATATATCTGATTGCCTCCCACCAACGTAAGTCAGAAACACACGGGGCAGAATTTCCAGGCATTCTGGCTGGGAAATTGAATAGGATACTTGTCACTCTGTTTTGTGCTTTAAACTTACTTATTTATAAATTTATTTGTTGTTTTCAAACTGCCCCTTTGGAGATTGAGAAAAAGAGACTCCGTTTTGCCACAATTTGGGATGGAAACTAACAATTTGCCACAATTTGGGATGGATATACTGGTGCGGCCTACCGTGGTAGACTATTCCCATCGAATGTGGTGTTGTGTTTTCTCTTCAGAAGGAAGCTCCTGGCCGACGCCGACTCAAATACAAGCGGTGCCCGTGTTCTTGGTTCAGTGTGGAGGTGCTGGCCCGAGGCACTTGGTGGCCCCCCAGAGGACATGGCGTCTCTTTCCTCTTCGGAGGCATTTTCAAACAGTGATTCCTGTCCTACAGGAAGTTGTGTTTTTGTTAAGGAGTTACATTTTCCACACCTTCCCTCAAATTCCAACGCCGCTAGGGAATGTGTCCTGGCCACTACCCCAGGAAAGACAGGATTCTCAGCCCCCACGAAGAATCCCTTTGAAAGACCGTTATTCAGTCCCCATTTACAGAAGTCCTTTGTAAGTAGCAACTGGGCTGAAACACCAAGGATAGAAAAAAGAAATGAAAGCTCTTATTTCCCGGGAAATGTTCTCACAAGCACGGCTGTGAAAGATCAGAATAAACACACTGCTTCACTAAATGACTTAGAAAGAGAAATCCAGGCTTCCTGTGATGTTGATAATTTTGACATAGATGACTTTGATGATGATGATGATGACTGGGAAAATATAATGCATAATTTAGCAGCCAGCAAATCTTCCACAGCTGCCTATCAACCTATTAAGGAAGGTCGGCCTGTTAAACCAGTATCAGAAAGAATTTCTTCAGCCAAGACAAACTGTCTTCCATTGGCATCTGCTGCTCAAATTAAAAACTCAGAGTCAATTCAGAATTACACTGGTAAGTTTAAAATAAATTGATGCTTATATTTTATATGAAAACATAACTGTCCAAAATCGGAAATGTGTAAGAAAATGATAGCACATCGTCCTTGCCTGAAAAGTACATTGTCTCTTTGCACATTTCTGCTGATAATATGAATTACAAATCACTGTTTCAGAAGCAGGTTGCTCCTTTGTCTCTGCGGCAGCTGTAGTCTTATACAACACGTAATTATAACCTATTGTAAAGCTCTAAAGTCATTACAAATGTGCTTTGCCTTTAAATTAACATCTTTTGGTCCCTAAAACAATAAAGCTCATAAGGGCCAAGTTTTTAATGATTTAAGGGATGAGTAAAAAGCAAAGCTGAATTTATATGTTAAAAATGTAATTGTGTATTTTTAGAACTCTGATGATGAGAACTGATCAATTTATAAAGTAGAGAAACATGTCTTCTGTCTTAAAATATTAGAATGCAGGGCAATCTAAGAAAGACACGAAGTGAGAAATTCCTTAAGTCAAATTGTTTCTTTGGGCCTAAAATCCTTTTAATTCATTCAACAAATATGTATTGAGAGCCATTCCGTGCCATGTTCGGTGTCAGGTTCTGGTAAGAGGTGAAGAACAGGTCATTCCTGTCCTCTTGGAGCTCCCAGTTTAGCAGGAGAAGTTTTGGGAGGAGTGCAGTTAGCCACTGTAAAGGCTGCAGAGAGAAGCCAAAATTAATTTTAAAACCTTACGTCAACCGTATAAAGTTGCCACGAAGTGTGTTTTAACCGGAACAAGTTTATATGTGTAAGGTTTGATAAAGTACAGCCTTCCCTGTTTTTGCCATCGTTGACTTAACACCATGGAGGTCATTCTCATAGTTATGCCGTTGACCTTTAAAATAACCATTAATGGATTTATTTTTATATCATGTTAGAATGTGTCATACTTGATGCTCGCAATTATCGTTGAGACAGTCGAGTGTTGGGATTAGAGAGGCTGCCCCAGCTGGCGTGAGCACCTCTTGTCCTCTGTGCCAAGCAGGGGGGCGGATGTGAGACACACGGTAGCAGAAGAACCAGGAGAGGCTGAGATGACTCCGAGGTTTCAGACCCGGCGACTGGGGAATCTGTGACACCATTAGCAGAGCAGGGGAGTCGGGAGGCAGAGCAGATTGGGAGGAAAGCCGAGGGGGGCTATTTTAAGACTTGTTGAGCTTCAAGTGTTGGTAAGTCGTTCAGGTAGAAATGTCTTGCAGACTTTTGGAGATGCGCGCAGGGCTGGAGCTTAGGAGGGCGTCAGCGGGGCCTTACGGAAGAGATCTGGGCATTCTGTGCACACAGGTGATGTTGAAGATCAGACGGCTTGGAAAATTCTAGGAAAGGGTGGCTGAAGAGCCCAGTCCCAAGGGTCTGCAAAGACTCCCACAGTTAAGGGGCAGGTGGAGGAAGTGGAGCCAGGGAAGAGAATTAAAATAGAAAACCCATGGTTGTCTTGAAGGTCAAAAGAGCAGGAAGCAGGGAATAAATGCAATAGTTAGTGGTAGGTGCTACCGAAAAACCAAGAAAAAGGCTGAATTTGACACTCAGGATGTCTCTGGTGGCTTTAACATTTGGTGGGGATGAAACCCTGATAAATGGTTAAAGAACGACGTGCTGCAGGGAAGTGTATGCCTTGGATTACGCGGCAAAGGGTAAATGCTAAAACTGACTTGTTAACAATAATGCACTGATTTTTCTTAACATCGATTATTTTCTCAGACAAGTCGGCGCAAAATTTAGCATCCAGAAATCTGAAGCATGAGCGTTTCCAAAGTCTTAGTTTTCCTCATACAAAAGAAATGATGAAGATTTTTCATAAAAAATTTGGCCTGCATAATTTTAGAACTAATCAGCTAGAGGCGATCAATGCTGCGCTGCTGGGTGAAGACTGTTTTATCTTAATGCCCACTGGTAGGTATTTTTAGATGTAAATTGGCAGGAGTCCATTGGCAGATGTTAAATGAAAACCCTTTAATAGAAGTAAAATGAACACCCACACGATATTTCTGTCATTAAGGGGACCTCTGTACCTCCCATGCCGTCGTGAGAAAGAGTATTACTTCCGTCCTCTGTTGACGCGATAACATTTAGACCTTTCAAGATGTTCACGTCAAGGCTGCTTGTGTTGAATTGATCTAGAATTTTTCTTGGGGAATTTCTCTCTCTCGCCCTCTTGCCCTCTCGCGCCCCCCCCCCCGGTCTAAATTAGTCTGGAACATGAATTAAAAAAATTACCACCAGAGACCTCGACCATCTCTGGCACTTTATCCAGTACAGTCTGGTGTTGAAGGGTGGTCGAGACCGTCAGCTGTGGAGTGATGGCCTGGCCTTAACGCTCAGCTCTGCCACTTATTCGCCATGTGACCTTGGGCGAGGCACTTCACCCCCAGCCCCAGTTTCCTCGAGTGTGTGGCAGGGGTGATAGTAAACTACCTACTTCACAGAATGTCCTGGGGATTAAATGAAAAGCATTTAGCGTGGTTCTTCCTTGGCCTCAGTGTTGAAGAGATCTAGGACTTTCCGTTGTGTCCAAGTAAGAATATTAAAGATGCAGTCTGGGCAAGAAGCACAGGAATCGGAGTTGCGGACTTAGATGTAGACTTCCCTCTGCCTTTTACTCAGCTCGTCTGTGACTTTTAGTAGTTAGTTACAGCCATCGTTATAAAAATTATGTTGACCGAGCTTTGGAGTTTTTTTCAAACTGATTTTAAAATTTAGACGACACTGATTTAATAATCAGCATTTCTTATCTCATTAACTTATTCACTCTGTCTCATGCTTTGACTTGTTTGGTATTTCAGAACTGAAGCTGGAAAGGACCCTGACAGTGATCCAGTCCCATGGTTTCAGGGCTTTTCATGGTCCTCTTTAGGGTTTGGGGGGCCTTTTTAAGGGTCTTCCCATCCCAATTTCAACCTCTTGATTTATGCAGATAAAGATTCCAGATAAGGTTTCTCTTAGACAAAACAGACAAAAACAAAAGCCAAAAAACCGCCAATGTAGTACATTTTGCAGGTGATGACGTTGAGGCGCAGAGAGGTTGGATATACGTCTAAGTCAGACAGCCTGTAAAGTGGCAGAATAGAAACGAGAACTCAGCTTCCAGATCTTTCCTTGACATTTACACATATACACCAGAATGAAATGTACTTACTCCACGTGCAAAAGAGGGGAATGTGGTGGATAGTTCTAAACAACCAAACAGGGGCGCCTGGGTGGCGCAGTCGGTTAAGCATCCGACTTCAGCCAGGTCACGATCTCGCGGTCCGTGAGTTCGAGCCCCGCGTCAGGCTCTGGGCTGATGGCTCAGAGCCTGGACCCTGTTTCCGATTCTGTGTCTCCCTCTCTCTCTGCCCCTCCCCCGTTCATGCTCTGTCTCTCTCTGTCCCAAAAATAAAATAAAACATTGAAAAAAAAAATTTTAAACAACCAAACAAACAAAAACAGTCGAAGGCCTAGAAACTGCCTGGCATGGGCTTCTACCATTAGCGAATGGGAGAGGTTGAAAATCAGAGACTAATCATTTTAGTTATCCTTAAATGTGTACTGATTGTCTCACCATTTTGAATTGGAGCTACACGGAGAGATGGGGACGCATCTCAGAATTTCTTTCTCTTCATCTTCTGCTAGCACACACAAGCGTAGTTCTACCCTTCTTTGATCTCAAAGGAAGATTGGGAATATTTCCTTACCGATAAAAGAGTACAGTGAATAAAAGCTCAGATTTTAAGCGTTGAAAGGTTCTTACTAGTGATTTAAAAAACTGAGATCCTGAAAGCGCTTTCTGGATCATCAGAGAAATATTAAACCATGTTCACCATGGTCTTTAGTGTTGTATATCTTATCACATTTTAACTCTTTAAAAATTGAATGTTATCTAAAGTAATTATTTTCACCCTAATACTGTGATAGAGTACCCCTTGTACTGCATTTGGATTTCTCAAGTAGACTTTTAAAGCAATTGTCTTGCATTTCAGTTTCCTGCCCTGATCCCTGCTTTTGGCTTCACGTGTACCTACATGAGGTGTCCTGATAATTTTCACACACTTAAATTGTCTAAATATTTTGGCTCATTCTAATATGGCAAACTGTTGGCACCATGGGGACTATCACTTGGTGTCCTGTTAATTACTTTAAAATATTACTCTGTGATTTACTTTTTAACTTTTGCCTTCATGCTCTCAAGATAGAACCTGATAGGTTTTGTTTGTTTGTTTTGTCCTTTCAGGAGGTGGTAAAAGTTTGTGTTACCAGCTCCCTGCCTGTGTTTCTCCTGGGGTCACCATTGTCATTTCTCCCCTGAGATCACTTATCGTTGATCAGGTCCAAAAGCTGACTTCCTTGGATGTAAGTTAAAACACTACCAATTATAACTAAAAAAATACCCATAAAAACATGAAAATAGTTATATGTCAGTACTCTGGGTAACACCTTTTTTATTAAGTAGTTCCTGGATTATAAGAATCAATCAGCAGTTACGCATGTGAGCGAGTCTTTGAAAATTCTAAGGAGATAACCTTCTGTAGTTGAGTCTAGAAAAATGTACTTTAGCAAGAACGTTTAACCTGTGTTTTGCTGATGTGAATTTCTTGTACTAAATGTGAGGCTTTCTTTTATTCCTGCGAGATAAGCATACTGGCTGGTCCCTTAATACCTTAAAATGCATCACGTGAGCGCCCTGCCCACGTGACCCTCCTCCTCTTGGCTGTGGTTGAGGAAGTATATGAATGCATCCTCCCGAATCCCACATATTTTCGAGGTTATGAGCCGCCACCCCTCGATACCACTGGTTTGATTTTTCTTCCCAAGAATGTCTTTGTGCCGTGCCAGTCACCACCGTGCAGCCATCCGTGATGCTTCCTGTGGCCCTTCCAGTGTCCTTGTGTGGGAAAATGCTGGTGATGCCTTTACCTACGCCAACAAGAGCCGTACATTGGGATGGGAATCTCCGGGGTACTGAGTTCATATTTACAGATAGGAAAAGTAACAGCAGTAAAGAAAATAGAAAAAAAAGAGAGAAGGAAGTAAACAATGGGAATATTTTGACTTATGCTAAGAAAAGTTTTCTTTTTACATATGTGCCAATTATTTAATTATATTGAGACTGTCTCTCCTTTTGACAGGTTTGCTATGTGACTTGTGAAATATTTATGAAACTGAAGGATAAATATATGCTTAAGTCAGATTAATGTATAAAATATAAATTGTTTACTACTTTTATACTTAGATTCCAGCTACTTATCTGACAGGTGATAAGACTGACTCGGAAGCTACAAGTATTTACCTGCAATTATCAAAAAAAGATCCAATCATAAAACTCCTGTATGTTACTCCTGAGAAGGTTTGTATTGATGTCATTATTTTAAAATATGATACTAGAGCTGTGTTAGGAAAACAATCTGGTTCTCCGCCCTGAGTAGGGAAACACCCAGTTTCCCTCCTGTGTCTTCCTCCTTTACCATCACATAGAGTATGTCACTCCTGGTGACCAAATGTGTAGAGGTTTTTCCTCACACCGAGCTCTCTGTGACCCCAGCAGGGTGTCCTGCAGTTTAACTCAATTCTGACGTGGTCTACATGGACAGTGTCAGATACCACAAGTTAAGGGATCGGCTCCACAAGATGGTTCCCACCCTTCTTCAGATGCCAATTGCAAGTAGAAGGTCCCCAGGTTACCCACAGTTTCTGTCCAGTTTGGCTAACAAATCGGAGGTTCCCGTGACTCCCTCCTCAGGTTGGATTAATGTGCTAGAGTGGCCCACAGAACTCAGGGAAACACGTTTACCAGTTTGTTAAAGCATATGCTACAGGCTGCAGATGAACAGTCCGATGAAAGGTCCACAGGGCGGGGACTCAGAAGGTCCTCAGCACAGGAGCTTCTGTCTCCAGGGAGTTGGGAATGTGTGACCCTCCCACATTGGCGGACGTGTTCACCAACCTGGAGGCTGGTCGAACCCTGCGCTATTGGGACTTCATGGCAACCTCCTCATGTAGGCATGACCAGTTATTAACTCCATTTCCAGCCCCTCTCTCCTCTCTAGAGGATGGGGGTGCTACTGAAAATTCCAAGTTTCTGATCATGGCCTGGTCTTTCTGATGACCAGCTCCTACGCAGAAGCCATCTAGGAGCCCACCCAGAGTTGCCTCCAGAAAACAAAAAACGCTCCTAGTGCTCTTGTCACTTGAGAATTTAGAAGGGAGTGGCTCCTGGGTGGCTCAGTCGGTTGAGGATCTACTCTTGATTTTGGCTCGGGTCACGATCTCATGGTTGGGTTCATGGGATCGAGCCCCAGTCGGGCTCTGCCTTGACATCTCGAAGCCTGCTTGGGATTCTCTCTTTCCCTCTCTCTCTGCCCCTCCCCCGCTTTCTTGCTCTCTCAAGTAAATGAACTTTAAAAAAAAAAAAAAGTCAGACACGTAACCAACTGAACCACCCAGGAACTTAAGACAAAAGACAAGTCGGATGCTTGTCAAGACATGGATGCCAGATGTGGTCATGGCTACTGGGAGGTCACTGCTTCTAGGCCCTGTCACAGGTCCATATGTGCATGTGTGCATGTGTCCCCAGACAACGTGTATGCCTGCAATATACATCTGTAACCCTGTTACCAGTGTAAACGTGTGGTGAACCTCAGTGCTTGCTAAATGTAGTGAATATGCTAGAAGGTCTCATTTGCAAGTTTCCATTACTCCTGCTAAGTCTCTTGGTACATTGAAGTTAAGTGCTCATTTATGTGGAGGTTGTTGTAATACAGCTTCAGTTGTAGTGGAGCTTGAAGACAGCAAAGTCTTTAAGGTGATGTGGTGTGTAATGTTTTCACATCTCTAATGCATATACTTCTGGTCTAGGTGTGTGCGAGTAATAGACTGATTTCCATTCTGGAGAACCTGTATGAGAGGAAGCTCTTGGCACGTTTCGTGATTGATGAAGCACACTGTGTCAGTCAGGTAAACACCGGCTTTTATATCTTGAAATATCAGTAAATACGTACTGCCAATGGTCCGTATATTTGCAGAATACAGAAGGGAACAGTGAATTATTCTATCTCGCTGAAGAATAAGGTGGTTCTTAATACAGTGAGCAGCGTTTGCTGTTTATGTAAGAAAGATGCAAATAGTCTGAAAAGCAGTATTTTCTTTCCAACTAGTGGGGGCATGATTTTCGCCAAGATTATAAAAGAATGAATATGCTTCGCCAGAAGTTTCCCTCTGTTCCAGTGATGGCCCTTACTGCCACAGCTAACCCCAGGGTACAGAAGGACATCCTCACTCAGCTGAAGATTCTCCAGCCTCAGGTGTAAGTTGCTGGAAGTCATGAATTTAAAAACCCTGGGGCATTGGTTCCCACAGTGCTGCACATGAGAATCATGTACCGATCTTTAAAATCCTGGTGCACAGATTGCACTCGATGTCAATTAGATCAGAATTTGGGGGGACTGGGAGCCTTTATGTTTTTAAAAATCCCCAAGTGATTCCAGCGCTCAGCACAATTTGGGAACCAAGGCCCTCGGGCTTTTCTTTACTTACTGAAATTAAAACTATCCTAAATACCTATTTTGGAAATAGGGACAAAGTATGTACTGTACCTGTTAATAATTTATGGGATCTGTTATCGTCCTGGTAGCGAATTATCTTTGACTTATCTAATTTCGGCTCCTACGTATTCTAGAGTATACATCAGGAAATAATCGGATGACCCTGCTTTGTCGTTTTCCTGAAGTCCCAGGATTTTGAAAACAGTCCAGAAACTGTGTATATGACAACGTTTATACTTTGTTTTCATCTCAACAGCAAAGTGCTTCTTTTGGCCACCAAATCCATAATCACTGGTAATGGAAACCACTGTAAACATTATCTCCACATATATAGGTTGTACTGGATCGTCTCGTACCTCTGTGTGAGTTTGTGGACAGGTGCATTCTCTGATAGGCTCATTCACTCAGCAAGTATTTACTTAACAGCTGTTGTGTGCCAAGGTTAAAATATTTTTCCCTTCTAACTTACTGGTGGGTCCTTTGAGTTTGAAGAATGCATGAAGGAATGACTAGTATATTGGGGTGAATATTTAAAAGCACCTCTTTTGTTCCTTTGGAAATAAAGACAGTAAGCTGGCTCTGTCAACACTGTCATCAGTAAAAGCAGCATTTCTCAGCAGGTTATGAGAAGAACCGAAAGGCCATGTGGAGGGTGTGAGGGGTCAGGAGAGGAAGAGAGCTGTAAGGACTGTTGCAGGTTAAACTGGCATTCTTGAGCACACAGATCTTAGAGTCCTCCAAATTTTGTGCGTGAAGTCACAAATTTGGAATGGAAGGTTTTCATTTAATCTCACTTGCAGGAAGGATGTTTGTGTAGAATTTGCGGGACGGGGAGATTTTGCTTCCGTAATTGATATGCATTACATTATTTTAGGTGTCATACTTCAGGTTCTAGTGAATAACTTACATGCTAGAGATTTGCTTCTTTAAGTACTACATTTATCTGTGAAAGCTTTTTTTTTTTAATAGGCAAATGTTTTTAGCTTTTTTTCCATCAATTTATACCAGATACAGCCTACCGTTCTTCTAGGCTAGTAATATTAATTGCTAAATCCATGTAACTAACATTGTATAAATTCAATTCACTTTTTGAGTAACTTTTTGTAGGTATAGAATTTGTCATTTTTGTTTGAATAAACATTGCACATATGTATTTAGAGACAGACACCTTTAATATCTTTTCCTAGTTTTGTGGGGAGATCAGCCTAGAAAGGCAATAGATTGTACATTTCCTGAGTCTAGCATGTGGTGCCCTGTGCATAATTGGCACTCAGTAAGAATGAATAAAGGGAACATATGGAGGAATTTTGGTAAATGTGGGTAAAATATGAAAATTTGGGCAAGTCTGTTGATTCCTTAATATATTTGGTACTTCTATATTTGGGAGGGTTTAAATCTCTTAGTGGAAGTAAAAGATTTTTAACAAACACTTTCTGGTACATTTTTTCCTGATCTTTTTTGCCAGTAGGCCCCTTGTTTGGATTAAATTTACCCAACTGCTGCTGCGTCACGGCCCTGCTGAAGGCAGGTGTCCCCAGAGGTGGGGTCATGGCCCCCATGCTCTTCTCCTACTGCTAGTCTGTGGTAATCTTCTTCCTCTTTGGGAAATACAAGGGTGGATAATAAGATAGACTTTATTCCTTTTCCTTAGGACCTTAAAATATAAACTGAGAAAGAGAAGAGAGACAGCCATGTATGGACAGTAGATACAACAATAATATTAGAATACAACAATAATAACAGCTAATAGTCACATATGTAGCCTATACAATGTGCCAGTTACTGTTCTTGACATTTTATGTGTATTGACTCATTTACCCACACAAAAGGCTTCTGAGGTAAGTTCTCCTGTTTTCCTCACTTTGTGGATGAGGAAACTGAGGCACATGGAAATTAAATAATTTAAACAAGGTCATATGCCTCACAACTGTGGGAGTGAAGAGACTTTAACCCAAACAATCTGGTTTTAGAGCCCTTGAAATACTTTCTAATAAATTGCAGAGTGAAGTAAGTGGTAATTAGAGATGTAAATTATGACTGCAGGAACTCAGGAAGGCAAGATTGATGATAACCCAGAATAACAACTCCTTGTTAATGAGGCGGGGGTCAGATAGGGTTTCATATAAAGGAGGAGGGCTTTGTAGGATGAGTAGTCTTTTTTGTAAGCGGCTGTAGTGAGATATAGTTTACATACCTTGAAATTCACCTATTTAAAGCAAGCAATTCTATGATTTTTTTTAGTTTACACACAGGGTTGTGCATCCCGACCACTGTCTAATTTTAGAACATTTTTGTCTCCTTTGAAAGAAACTCCATACCCATCAGCAGTCAGTTCCCACTTTCTCCCATCTCCCCAGCCCTAGACAACCACTAATCTGCTTTGTGTATTTATAGGTTTTTGCCTCTGCTGGACATTTCATATACATAGAATTTTACAAAACATGGCCTCTTGTGACTGGCCTCTTTCACTTAAGTGTAATGTTTTCAAGGTCCATCCGTGTTGTAGCGTATATCAGTACTTCATTCTTTTTTATTGACAAAAAAATGTTCCGGCGTATGGGTACTCTACATCTTACGTATTCCTTTATCACGTGGTGGGTATTTGGGCTGTGTCCACGTCTTGGCTCTTAGGAAAACTGTTACGAGCGTCTGTGTCTGAGCTGTTGCGCGGACACGCGCTTCCATTTCTCTTGGACGTATATCAAGCAGGGAATCGTTGGGTCACATGGTAACTCTTTGTTTTACTTTTTGAAGAGCTGCCAGATCGTTTTCCAAAGCGGCTGCACCACGTTACATTAACTTCAGTGTGTGTGGGGGGGGTGGGGGGTGCAGTTTCCCCCCACCCTCCCCTTCCCCATCCATGTCACCATGTGTCTTTTTTTTTTTTTTTTTTAATTTTTTTTTTCAACGTTTTTTATTTATTTTTGGGACACAGAGAGACAGAGCATGAATGGGGTAGGGGCAGAGAGAGAGGGAGACACAGAATCGGAAACAGGCTCCAGGCTCCGAGCCATCAGCCCAGAGCCCGACGCAGGGCTCGAACTCACGGACCGCGAGATTGTGACCTGGCTGAAGTCGGACGTTTAACCGACTGCGCCACCCAGGCGCCCCACCATGTGTCTTTTCAATGATACCCATCCTACTGGGTGTGAAGTGGTGACATTTTAACAGGTAGAGAGTGAGAATTCAGGGCTGAAGTTCCTGGCATCAGAGTCCAGATCAGATCCAAGGAGCAGTGAATAATCTGTAAGATAAGTGGAGCAACCCAGAGAAGGGCCAACCCCGGGAAGGAGGCTTGATCCCATATCGTGGGGGGGCCTTGGCGTTTTGTGATGCTGAAGCATGTGGACTTTATCCTGTGGACAGCTCGACCTGGGAAGTGGTGACCTGAATCTGATGGTAGAACGATGACCCTGGCAGTGGAACAGAAGATGGAACAGAGGAACAAGAGATCAGAGGCAGGACGGCCCGTAGGAACCCCACCGTAGCGTTCTAGGAGAGAGGGGACGGTGGTGGAAACAGGGGAAGAGCACGGAGGGGACAGGGTCAAGGGAAAGCACAGTTGCATCCGTAAGACTGGCAACCAGTGGCGTAAGAAAGGTGAATGGTGGAAGTTTATGTTAGTTTCTGGTACCATTGACCACGGACATGCAGGAGAGGGGGTGGAGGGATGGGATGGGTGGTGAATGTGATTTTTAGATCTGTGGTGTGGGGGGTGTTCAAGGGGTAGTAGAGATGGCCACGTCCTCAGTCTTCATAGTTTCTCTGGTCATAATGTGCTTCCTGAAAGAATTGGAAAACTGTACCCCTTGTATATTTCTAACCAGACACCAAAAATGTTTCAACACGAGTTTTAAATAAAGAGAATGAGGTCTATTGTAAATAACATTTTTCAATAAAATTGTCACCTAGCCCTTTTAAATGTATCCAGTAGAAGATAAATATAATAGCAATTTTATACCTACTTTCACTCACAAAACACATTAAAATGTTTAATTTTACACGTCTTTAAAAATATCTTTAACAGATATTTTACATCTTTCCTCTTCCTCTTTGAATTCATATTTCTCTTCAGTTTTCCTCACAGATTTTTATCCTAAGGTGATATATTTTTCTGCATGAAATCTTGTTTATCATACCTATAAGAAAAGTATGTATACAAATATATGTATATAAATGAAAAGTTGCTTTTAAATTTCCCATACTAAAATTTTCTTCCAGATTGAATTATTATAATGATTAGTTATATATAACTGATCAGAGTAGACATTTTTTCAATTAGCTGATACATCTGTGGATGAATCGACTCCGTCCATATTTCTTGTTTTCGTAGATGTAAGCAGTGAGAACTGTTATTCACGTAAACTTGTAGATGGGAATGGAAAGCATTTTATTTTAGCAGCGACACTCAATTATTTGAGTTTTTTCTGACGTATATGCCAAAATTACATAATGATCTGTCATCAAAAATTATCTTTTATGATCTGTCAGCTGACAACTCAACTAGGTCCTTTAAATTTTGTGAGAAGCAAAGACCTGTAAACTCTCTGACTGGCAAAATAAGTCAGATCATTACTCACTTTACTTTTTCTGGGAAACATACTATAAAAAAGTTTTACCAAGATTTATCTAATGACCATTGCATGTTGTTGTTCCTCCTTCACTTAAATGAGTCTTGTAGCCAATATATTCGGAAGAGTTGGGGAAATCAAAACGCTGTTAGTTTCAGTAGGCCTTTTCTAATACATTTTGACGTGTGTTTTTATTGTATGATACACTCTTAAATAACAGCCTTGTCAGAACTTTGTGGCTGCCAGTTAGCTCTTTCAGATACCGGGACATGACTCTGGAACGTAATTGGCCAAGCCAGTGTTCATTGCCAAACCAATCACCTGCATTAAAGTTATTTCCATTTATTTAAAGGGAAGAGTCTGTCTTTGTTTCTCAGTTCACATGAACTATTTAGTGCACATTCCCATGACAACTATCTCAGCTTCAAAAGCAACTAGAGCTTGAGCACAAATTGATTCCATTTCCCGACACATCACTTAAAATGACAGGAGTTTGATACCCTGGACCTAATCATAGTTACCATGTTAATGTCAGTTGATATCAGTACTCCCTCAGTGAAGATACAATGGAATCTCAAGCTTTTTTTTAAAAAAAGTAAAATCTTTATTGAGATACAGTCAGGGTGCCTGGCTGGCTCAGTTGGTGGAGTATGTGACCCTGTGTCCTCCAGGTCATGCGTTTGAGCCCCACATTGAGCAGAGCCTACTTAGAAAATAAAAATAGATAATTGACACATCATAAAATTCACCCATTTAAAGGTTAGAATTTAGTAGGGTTTTGGTATTTTCACAGAGGTGTGTGCAACCACCCCCCATATCTAAGTGTAGAACATTTCTGTCACCCCAAAAAAGGAAGCTAGCACTCATCAGCAGTCACTTCCCATTCTTCCCATCTCGCGTGTCCATCATCTCCCCCCGAGCGGTGTTTTCAAGGCTCATCCGTGTTGCCACATATATCAGGACTTCGTTCCTTTTTATGGCTGAATGATCTGTTGTGTGGGCATTCCACATTCACTTACGTATTCTTTAGTTGATGGGAATGGTCTCTAACTGAATATTTGGAAATTCCAAACATCCCATTTTCCAACAGGCCAATAAGACAAACTCGAGGAGACTGTTAACATTTTCATCAGAGCGCATGGTGCACCTGCTGCATTTAGTCAGTGGCCCATGTGCTGGACTTGGGCAGTCCTTTTGCAGTAGAGATTCTTGTTTTGGTTTTGAGTTTGAGGTCTGCAACTTTATTTCCTAATCTCATGTCACTTTATTACTTTTAGTAATTTGACTAAGTTAATTAGTTAAACATTTCTAAGTTTTTTTCAATTACGTCACAGGTTTTAAAACTTTTTCAGATTACGTGCCAGTTTCTGATCACTGCTTTATTGAGAGGGAGTCCCTGTATCATACAACTCTCCCATTTAAAGTGCACAATTGAGTGGTTTTTAGTATGCTCAGAGTTGTGCAGCCATGACCACAATCAATTTTAGAACGTTTTCATCACCCTGCACAAAAACCCACGTCCATTAGTACTCACCCGTCTCCCCCTCACAGCCCCCTCAGCCCGTGGCAACCACTAACCCACCTTCTGTTTATAGACTTGTCTATTTGGGGATATCTCATATAAATGGAATCATGTGATCTGTGGTCTTTTGCGAGTGGTTTCTTTTACTTAGCACAATGTTTTCAGAGTTTATTGTTGAGTAATATTGTTTTTTGTCTGGGTATGGCACATTTTCTTCATCTGTTGGTGAATACTGGTGTTGTTTCCATTTGGGGCTATTACAAATCGCTCTGTTCACATACAGGTTTTTGTGTGGCCCTGTTTTCATTTCTCTTGGGTCTGTACCCAGGAGTGGAATTGCCCAATTGCACGGTATCCCTGATTTTCACCTTTTGAAGAACTGCCAGACTTTTCCAAACATCCCCACCGGCAGCATAAGTGGGTTCTGATTCCACCTCTACTTGTTCTTGTCTCTTTTTTGACCCCGAGCTCCTTTTTTTTTTTTTTTTAAATACATAACCATTGTTGTGCAGTTACAGGTTACAGTGTAGGTGACAAGACACTTCCTGATGGTAGTCATGATGTCAGCGTCATGCTGGTGGGGGGGGCTCCTGCACCATTCCCAGCCTGCGCCCAGAGTAACTCAAATAAGTTTTAACATTATCTACATCATTCGTACTCCCGGGCCGTTCTTTTTATGCCATCATTTTATCAGGACTGTGGTTTCCTTTGCTGTGGCAGTGATTATAAATAATTGACTGAGAACGATCAAAACAGTCCATGGATGAGGCAGTCTTTTGCCTCCTGCCTCCACCCCGCCCCCGCTGTGATCCACTACCCACCCGTTCTTTGGCCATTTCAAGCACTAGGAGGGAGGACTCCGTGCTCTGTGCACGTGAACAGCCTAAGAGGCAGGTTCAAGGTGCCGGTTAGCAGCAGTCTTGCAAGGCTCCCAGAGTGCTGCATCCTGTGACAGCAGCCAAGGGCACTACGCTTTACTCCCAACACAAATATGGAAAGCCCGCACAAGACATGAAGCCCTACCAAGGGTTTCTGGTACTTTGATTAAAGAAAATTTCACCTACACACCCGCACTACATTCAGTTTGCTCCATGTGGTGTCCTGGAGGTTTTTACCGCCAGACCAGTGCGCGGCCGTGAAGTTCAGGACAGGTGAAGAGCAGGGTTGGTTGGTTGGTCGGTTTTTACAAAGTGAGAGGACGGCCGCGTAAAGGGGGCAGGCGGGACCGGGGTAACGCGCAGGGTGTCTCGGCCACAGGAGTGTCCTCAGATCAGTCTTCTCGGGAGACAGTCCACGTGCAAATGGAGGACCCGCAAACTGACTCGTTTGCGGTTGTTGTCTTTGCTGATGTATCTTTAGAAGATCTTTGTGAAGTTGGGGTACGCGTACCCCTGTTTCAGACCACTGGTTGAGAAGTTGGACGGCGGTTTAGAAGTGTGAGGAGAAGCCTGAGTCAGGGCGGGTAGGGCTGACGCTCAGTGCTGCTTAAAGAAGGTGATGCGGGGAGGAGGGAAGAGGCCCCCACTGCAGGAGCAAGCGTAGGAAGCAGAGAAGGAGACAGAGAAACTCGAGGGCTCAGCGGGGAGGGAGCAAGCCCGTGGACCTGAAACGGTCGGTGCCATTGGAGGCTTTCAGGGACGATGCCGACGACACGGAGTGACAGAGGGGCCGGAGAATGAGGTCTGAAGGAGACCAGCGCACCCCCTGCAGGCAGCCCCACTGCTCCCTGGCCGTCTTACCTGCAGGGCGGTCCCGTGAGGAACGCGGCTGCCCCCCCTACATGGAAGTCATTCGTTCGTCCTAAAACCAAAGAAGTTGATCCTTTGGAGCCTGGGTTAGTGGGGGAGTCCCTGCAGGGCCCGGGACCCCGTAACAATCCCCTCACCTTTCTTTAGTTTTAAAAGTTTAGGGGCCCCTGGGTGGCTTGGTCGGTTGGGCGTCCGACTTCAGCTCAGGTCATGATCTCACGGTCCGTGAGTTCGAGCCCCGCGTCGGGCTCTGTGCTGACAGCTCGGAGCCTGGAGCCTGTTTCGGATTCTGTGTCTCCCTCTCTCTCTCTGTTCCTCCCCAGTTCATGCTCTGTCTCTCTCTGTCTCAAAAATAAATAAAAGTTAAAAAAATAAATAAATAAAAAATAAAAGCTTAGATACGGGGGGTGCCTGGGTGGCTCAGTCGGTTAAGCGTCCGACTTCAGCTCAGGTCATGATCTCACGGTTTGTGGGTTCAAGCCCCGCTTTGGGCTCTGTGCTGACAGCTCAGAGCCTGGAGCTGCTTCGGATTCTGTGTCTCCCTCTTTCTGCCCCTCCCCCACTCTCACTTTGTGTCACTCTGTCTCTCAAAAATAAAAAAATGAAATTTAAAAGCTTAGATAAAACAATCTTAGTAGCATGGTAATGGCAAAAGCCAGAATGGAGGTGACGGGAATTGAAATTGGATGTGTGGTCAGTTGGTTGGGGGCGTGAGTGTCTTCTGAGAAATTTGCCACTGGCGGGCAAGGCAGAGGCGAGGTGCCACCCGCAGGGGAGCGCAGGGACAAGAGAAGCTTCTGCTGTTGGGGGTATTGGTGGCCCTAGAACATATTCAGAGACAAAGGGGAAGAATTGGCAGAAGGACCTGAAATACAAGAGCAGAGAGAATGGAGAAAAGCCCCCTGAGGAAGCAGGAGGGAGGAGGCAGGTGGGCCAGAAGAGAAAGGGGGCACATGTGTGTCAGAATCAGCCCGTGCCCTTCGGGGCGCAGAGCACAGGGCAACGATCCGTGATCCGGAGGGCTTTGGCTCCCGCTGCTGCCCTGCAATCAGCTCTTTATGTCCGCCATCAAATTTTGGGAACATTGGCGGCCTGAAGTGTGTGTTTTCTCTGTGATTTTTCAGTTTTATCCACCTCTGCTTGTAATTGACCTCATCTTAGGGACCGGGCTCCTGACTCACCTGTCCTCTCTACGTGTTATCTTCCACAGCCCTCCTGATTCCTTGTCATCTCGTCCCACAGACATTTGTTCCCTATCACCGTTCCCTCTGCAAACACTTAACCTGACTTCCCCTCGAGCATCGTGTAACGCAAGCTGCCAGGGACCATCATCCGCTTCAGGTGGCTTGATCATTAGGTTCGCATTGTGGAAAATCAGTGTTTGATGTATAAAAGTGAGTAAAACTATATTTTCTGTTAATAACAAAATTTTCTCTTTGGGGCTTCTAGGTTTAGCATGAGCTTTAACAGACATAATCTGAAATACTACGTGTTACCGAAAAAACCCAAAAAGGTGGCATTTGATTGCTTAGAGTGGATCAGAAAGCATCACCCACGTGAGTACATGTGACGAATTATGTCTAGAAGTAATAAGTAAATATTGTGGTATTCGTACCACGATAGAATGTGTGTGTGCATGTTAAACATCGCTTTTCCCATGACAGTAGCACTAACTAGCTATTTATAGAACAGCAAATCACAACTGCCTCACTGCTGGAAATTGTAAAATCCCATTTGGTTTGATAACAATAAACCCTAAGAAGAAGTATATGAGATGACCCCCCCCCCACACACACACCCGTGCTGTAGTTCGTGGTTTCGGCGTCTCTCCTCTGGCCCCTGTCGGTACGGATTCTAGCAGTCTCTGTGTTAGGGGCTTCTCCCGAGGGTCTGCCTAAGGGTTCTGTTACCTAAGATGAGAGATTGCGAAACTCGTGGTAGTTTTCCACGTAACCCCCCTGCCCCTTTCCCAGAGAGAATTGTTCTTGGTGACCACCTCTAGTTCGTGTTTTTAAAATTAGTGTACGTGTTTGTTTGAGCAAATCAGACCGTGCAGAGAGGTGGACCAAGAAGTCGTCTGTGATTTCCCTTCCAGACCCCCTTGTCCCGGGTGGCGAATATAGATAGCACGTTTTTGTCTGCACCTTTGGCTCTGCCACGGAGAGAGGGCTTTTTCTTTAACGCCTCTCATTTTGTGGTTTTCAAAACGACACATAGAATACGTGCTCCTTGAAGAAACCAAGAAAGCAACAAAAAGAAAGAAGCAAAAGACAAGAGTCACCTCAAGACAAGTCGCCGGGACCATCTGGGGTTTACTTCCCTCCAGCAGTTGTTTGTGTGTGTTTCTTTCCATTAGCGAACTGTGTGTGCACTTTTTCTACCCTTAACCCGCTCTGTACCTTGAACATCGTCAGGGTTCTTCAGAAAACTTAGAAACCACTTAATAATTATGGTATAGTTTTTTTCATGATGTCCTTTCTTAATTAATCCCCTAATGGTGGCCATTGAAGTTTTTCTAATTTTCAAAAGTAGAAACAAAACTTTTGGCAGAAGCCGTGGTACCCCTTTATTTCCTAGATGAGTTTCATAGAAGGAACGGGGTCAAAAGGCAGAAGCATTTCTAAGGCTGATGCACATTGCCTCACGCTTTCCACAATGTTCATGGAAGGGTGCCTTCCCGCTGCATGGCCAGTGTGAAACAGAGCCCGGGCTTCCTCCAGGCCCACCTAAGGAGTCATCTGGGGGCAGAACGGAAGGTCCCATCCTGTCTTCTCCAGTGCGTGTGAATTCGTCGCTTGAATCACTCTGCGTCTGTGACCACCCTCTACTCTAGCAATACCCTGGAGGTCTGCTCGTGGTGCACATATTTCTACGAACACAATGAAAATTGTGTTGTTATTTACGATAAAAGCTCTGTTTTGGTTTCTCGGCAGATGACTCTGGGATCATCTACTGCCTCTCCAGGCGAGAATGCGACACAATGGCTGACACTTTACAGAAGGATGGTCTCGCTGCCCTTGCTTATCACGCCGGCCTCAGCGATTCTGCCAGGGATGAAGTACAGCACAAGTGGATTAATCAGGATGGTTGCCAGGTAACATTTTCTATAATAAACAAATCAAGGAAATGATCTTTTATAGGACACGAGCAAACGTGCACACACAGGATGAAAATTGTTTTTACTTTAAAGACAGTAAACATCGGGGCGCCCGGGCAGCTCAGTCGGTTAAGCATCCAGCTCTTGATCTCAGCTCGGGTCATGATCTCATGGTTTGTGAGGTCGAGCCCCACATCGGGCTCCTTGCTGACAGTGTGGAGCCTGTTTGGGATTCTCTGCCTGTCTCTCTCTCTGCCCCTCCCCCTGCTCATGCTCTCTTTCCCTCTCTCTTTCAAAATAAATAAACATAACTAAATAAAAAAATAAATAAATACCATAAACATCAAAAGAAGACTGAAATTTAAAAACATCTTTTTGAGACTTCCAAAGTTGCTTTTTCTAAAATAAAAAAAATTTTTTTTTTATTCAGCTATAATTCGCCCTTTCAGAGTTTACAAGTCAGTGGTTTTTAGTATATTCACAAGGTTGTGCAACCACCACCACTAATTCCAGAGTATTTCATCATCCCCAAAATAAACTCCATACCCATTAGCAGCCACTCCCCATTCCACCAACCCCCCAGCCCCTGGCAACCACTAACCTAACCACTGCTAGTCTGTCTCTATAGGTTTTCCTGTTCTGGACATTTCACGCGAGTGAAATCATACAGTATGTGTTCTTTTGTGACTGATTTATTTAGCATAATGTTTTTAAGATTTATCCACATTGCAGCATGTATCCGTACGTTATTTCTTTTGTGGCCAGGTAGCTTCCATGGTAGGGATATAGCCCAGTTTGTCATCCATCCATCAGTTGGTAGACATTTGGTTGCACCCACTTTTTGGCTATTGGCGCATAATGTAATGCTTCTGTGAACATCTGTGTACGTGTTTTTGTGTGAACACGTTTTCAGTTCTCTCAGGTGGGTACCTAGGAATGGGATTGCTTAGTCGTACGGTAACTCTACGTTTAGCTTTTTGAGGAACTACCAAACTGTTTCAAAAGCAGCTACAGAATTTTACAGTTTGAGCAGCAACGTGTGAGGTTCCAGTGTCTCTGCCTTATTATTATTACCCATTATTGTCTTTTTTACTGTAGCCATCCTAGGGGATGTGAAGTGGCATCTCATTGTGATTTTAATTTGCATTTCCATAATAACTAATGGTGTTGAGATTTCTGAGATGACCGATTTATCACCCAAGTGGATCAAGAGGAAGACAACTAAGAACACTCTAGGCATCTCCTATAGCAGCAGGTGCCGGCCTTGGATAGATCTTTCTCAGTAACATCGATGACTTTGAGGAAAACAACTAAATAACTTTTTCAGCCTATGAAGTTTTCAGGTCACAAAAAGGGAAATTACCCTGAAGATTTAGAGGAAAAACATCTCTCAAAAGTATTTTCTAACGGAAAACAGAAGAAATCTTAGAGTATATTAGCCTAGTGTCCTTGGAAAGATGTCAGAAGACTTGACTTATATGAACCAGAAGCACTCTACCATAGGAAGATTACAGGCTGAGATGAAGGCACAAATAAAAATGAAATTTATCCAGATAAGAAAATGCACGAAAGGCAAAACAAATAGAATTATGTATCAGGACACAAATGGTTCAGATCAGTGCAGACATTTGCATCAATCAGGTAACGAATAACTTAAAAATGTGAAGGAAAGAAAACAGATTAAAATTAGGGGAAAAAAGGAAAATGGTATTTGTTGGTGTCAGGGCATCCGCCTAAGAATAATCAGTGTGTCCAAGAAGGAAATCAGGATAGTTGGGATACAGATACAACAGGCAGATGTGTTCTAAATGAGTACATAAGAAATATTTAACGAATTTAAAAGCTTTATTTCCGTGTCACTGGGGGAAAAGGTAAATGTAGACATAGTTCACCGATTAACGAAGGGCTAAAAGAAATTACATTCACCAAGATAAAGAAATAAGATACTCTACAGAAACCAGACAGACCTGAGACTGTTTCACTAAATAACAGAAGCAGGACACGCGGTCTTCAGAATCAGAGAAGGGAAGCCTGGGACTGAAGAATTTCACAGCCTGCTCATTGTCATGTGTGTTGAACACAACGGAAGGGCACTTTCAGATTGTGAAGTCCAGAAAGTGGATCACTGCCTTATCGTCAGTGAAGTAATCACAGATGCCAGTCCTCCCTAACTTGTATATTTCAGCAAAATTCCAGTGGGTTTTTTTTTTTTTTTTATTCCTTTGATAAACTTTTTCTAAAGTTTGCCTGGAAGAATATCCCAGTTTAAATAACCGAAGGAACTTGGCAAGAAAAGGAAAACACATGAACACTGGCTTTGCAGTACATCACAGACACATCAGTGACACAGAAATCCAGAATTCACCTGGAAAATGTGTAAAAATAGCGTGTGGCAAGGAAGGCACTGAAAAATTAAAAAAGGAGGGTGATCCAACCAGAGGTACCACTTACCTGCTGGGAGGGATTGTTTTGGATCCTCCTATCAAAATCACAGGTAAGTAAAGCTATTGGTATTTTTAAACGTAGGAGCCCTGGCTGGAAGAGAACCTGAGCTTAAAAAGAGCTCAAAAGGAAGGAATTGATAGAAATGATTAAAAACCTAAATACCTAAACACTTGTGTGTTGGTGAGCAAAATTAAAGGCAACAGCAAACTGGGGAAATAATGTCTTCAGCAAATAAAACATCCCATAGAGCGTGTAAAACTTTGATAAAGACATGAATCTCAAATAGTAAATTACCCCACGCTATCAAGAGACATCGAAAAGGAGCTGAGGGTGCTTTGGTGGCTCAGTCAGGTAAGCATCCGACTCTTGACTTCGGCTCAAATCACGATCTCATGATTCCCAGTTTCGAGCCCTGCATCCGGCTCTGTACTGACAGTGAGGAGCCTGCTTGGGATTCTCTCTCTCCTTCCTCTCTCTCTGCCCCTCCCTCACTCACACACGCACTCTCTCAATAAATAAATAAACTTAAATTTTTTTTAATAAAAAATGAAAAAAGGAGCCAGCAAAGTCTAGGCACAAATGTATTCCAAAGTGCAACTTTGCTAATTATTAAATCCAAATTTAAAAACAGTGAGCGACCATTTTCACCTCTAGTATTAGCAGACTTCTATTAACTGTTGGGGTCGATGCTGTAAGGGGCAATTTCCTACAGTGCTCCTGAGAGCCTTTCTGGAAAAAAATACTGTAGACTGTACAAGAGCCTCAGATCTGAAATATGGGCATGGAATTTACATGGCTGTTTTTTTACTTTTTTGTTGTTGTTGTTTTTTAATTGAAGGATAGCTGACAGACAATATTATATTACTTTCACTTCAGCACAGTGATTTGACAATTGTACTTACCACTTCTCACCATACAAGATTATTGCAATGTTGTTAACTGTATGATAGTGTTATATAAACAGCCTAAATGTCCTGAGAGAGTGACTGGGTACATTATAGAGCATTCCTGACATTGAAAATGGTTTGTGAAGAATTTCATAATGATTTGAAAATGTTCAAATGTCAACGATGGAAAAACGTAGGGACAAATAGAATCCAGAAGTGTGAGATCTCAACCATAAAAAAGAAAATTGAAGAACACCTGGGTGGCTCAGTCAGTTAAGCATCTGACTCCAGCTCAGGTCATGATCTCACAGTTCGTGAGTTCGAGCCCCGTGTCGGGCTCTGTGCTGACAGCTCAGAGCCTGGAGCCTGCTTGGGATTCTCTGTCTCCCTCTCTCTGCCCCTCCCTCGCTCACTCACACTCACTCTCTCTCTCAAAAGTAAATAAACATTTTTTTTAATAAAAAAAAAAAGAAAAGAAAATTGAATAGAAAAATAGATGAGAAAAAAGCCAAATATTTTCAAGTTCTTTAAATCTCTACGTATAGTATAAATATTCCACAGTACACATGCATACAGATAACATATTTGTATATATGTACATAAAACACTTTGATCAAAAATATGGTTTTAAAAAATTGGTGAGTTTTTGTTTGTTTTCAGACTAGCTAATCCTTACCATCCAGGTATAATAATACAGTCACTGGACAACCTTGATCTTGTTAGATTTGTGAGATAGAATAAAAACTTCATTGTTTTTCTTCACAAAGAAATTATTATAGTCTGGCGTTTTAAGAGCAACACAGAAATAAAGAAGGAAGTAACAGCTCGACTAAGCCAGTTTTCCCAGTGACAAGGCTAAAGGCTTTCAGGGGAAGTTGGCTTCAGGGTCACCTCCCTGGGAGCCTGCAGACTGCCCCTGGCCCACCCCTCGACCTCAGCAGACCTTGCCCTTGGGAGACTTGCCCTTGGGAGCCCCCCTACTTGTGGGACCGCCGCAGGCCATGCCCTGTGGGCCTGTGGGCTGCCACCCCACTCTGCACAGCCTCCCCACCTGCTCTCAGCCACTAGAGGCTCCGGCAGACTTTCTCTCTCCAAGGACATTTCCTTCAATAAAAGTGCCATAAATCTGGGGGGACGACTAGCCTGTAGTTCAGGCCGCAGCCGTCACCAGTGTGGACAAACACGCCCGTTTGCTATCAGCCTACTCCACCGCGTGCCGTTCCTCTCCCTGGTGCCCAGTGACCGAAATCATGTCATCGGCCTCAGTCTGGCTACCAGGTAGTTTGGTTGCTTTTGAAATACTGGTCTCGCAGCTTTATTTGTATAATATAATTTTGCCTGGAGATGTAATGTTTTTGGGTTAATAAGCCCTAAATTTGCAACTGCCATGGTTATTCTTGAAAATGGTTTTTTTACTAAAAATCAATTTATGAAGCTCCTGAAGTTCAACTGTCACCTTGGTTTTCCTAAGTAATTTGCATCAGCCACGATGCATGGTCTCCAGTCTTTTTTTTCCCCCCTAATATAAGCAACTGTCAGACTTTTACTCATGTGAGTTCCAATAAAAATTTCACAAGTTTTTACTTTGAAATCAGCTGTTGAGGAAAAGAAGCTGGTGTGTGATTGATCAGCTGCTCCCACTAGGGAAAAACAGATGGTAAACACGGGCACAGGTGACATTGCCACGGTTCCTGAAGCATCAGAGGCACTAGCAGTGGTCATCACCCTGGAGCTCCTGAGCGACCCGATCATGACCATGACCTCGGTGCTATGGCTGTGTGGGCAGTGCCCCTCATACCTCCATATCAAAAACATAAGAGAGGGGCACCTGGGTGGTTCAATCGGGTAAGCATCTGACTTCAGCTCAGGTCAGGATCTCACGGCTCGTGGGTTGGAGCCCCGCATTGGGCTCTGTGCTGTCAGCTTAGAGCCTGGAGCCTGCTTCGGATTCTGTGTCTCCCTCCATCTCTGCCCCTCCCCCACTTGTTTTTTGTCGCTCTCAAAAATAAACATTAA